GCCTGGCTCGCATGTGCCCCGGGCATGGCCGGCTCTAAGCAGGGAGAGTGGTCCTCTGTGACCCTTACCTTGCTCAGTTCTGTCGCCTCCACGCACAGGATGGTATCTGAGCGTTCCTTCATGGCTCGAGGCTCTGCATGGCTTTCTAGGAGTCCTTGTGGTCACCCAAGACCGCCAAGGGCCCACTCCCTGATCCCAAACTGCCTATCAAAGGGGTAGCCTCTGCCCCCTTCAGGAAGGGGCTGCCAGACTAGACTGACTCTCAGACTGCCCTTGGCCGACTGGTCCAGGCTACTGGCTACTCCCGGTGCTGTGGAAGGAGGCAGCCAGAAGGAATTCGCAAAGGCATGAAATGGTCCCTTAATCCAACTCAGCTGAGGATGCTAAGGTCAAGCGCTTGGCTCAGGGCAGCAGTCCTTAAAGGCACAGACCACGGTTGAGGACACCCCGCAGAGGACACTAGGCGCTCGTGGGGTGGGTGTGTGTGTGACCAGGGGAGCTGGACACCCCCTTTCCGCACCTCACCCCAAGTACTGAGTGAGCCCCCGAGGGGGGCTGGGAGGGAAGGAGGACCATGGCAGGCATGTCCAAGGCCTTGGAAGCTGGGCGTGAGGGTTTGGCAGCTTTAGGTCTAGGAGCCCTGAGGGGTCTGGACAAAAGCAGCTGTTCTCCCATCCAGGGCCTGGGGCGTTAGCCAAGTCAGGGTCTTTGGGAGGCCGCTGTGAGAGCACCTGTGTGGCCAGGACCTGGAGCTAAGCCAGTCCAGGAAGCACATGGTATGTACGCGCGGCTTCTGTCTGCACTAATGTGACTAGGCGAGCAGGAGGGATGGGCTGCCTCTTCCCCGGGGCCCGCCGGCCTGTGGAGGAAAGGCAGAGCAGGAGGAGGAAGAGGGGCCGAGTCCTTGGACAGGGTCGGCCGGGGCAGGCCCTCAACTGGGCTGCGGAGCCTGGCAGTTGGTACCATCTGCTGCAGGATAGAAAACCCACACTCTGCAAATTAGACCACTTCATGCCTCTTCCTCCGTGACGACAGTCTCTTGGAAAAACCCAGCCTGGCCCAGCTGTCCTCAGGGAGAAAGCAAAGGGCTTGTTAACCTTTCTTGTGTTAGCCATGCTTGGGCCGCGTTGGGCAGGGTCGGACGAGGGAGGCAGCATCATCTTCGTGGCTACCATTTGCAGAACATTACATAGTAGGCCCTGGGCAAGAGGCCTTACATGTTGTTTCCCTCCCTGGGTCACGCTACGAGGGAACGTAACCACCTCACAAATGACAGCACCGAGGCTTCCCCAGGGTCACACAGCTGGTGCGATACAGAGCCAAGAGTGGAATCTCCGGCTAGGGAAATCCAAAGTGCATGCTTGGCAGGACACACCTCTTTCACCCTCCACTGGGGCCGAGGCCTATTGGCAACAGCGGGGGACAAAGTGAGGAACCCAGAGGGGAGAGAAGAAACAAAGGAGACAGACTCTGTGGTCCTCACGCAGCTGTCCTCATACTCAGGGGAGACCCTTCACCCCCTGGTTCTTCTCCATTCACCCCCTGGGGAGCCCTGGGCTACTTGTGGAAGCGGGGGGGCAAGACTTTTTCCCTGGACCCTCGGTTGGGGACTGCTTTTCGAGGGTTTGAGAGGTCAAAAGTATTTCCATAACGACACTAAAACATTATTTGCCTTTTCATTTGTGAGCACAGAGTAGCTTTCCAGAGGCTGTGCTGGAAGCTTCTCTCTGGCTTTGCTGTTGTCCGTGGCCATCCTCTGGGCAAGGGCAATTAGGCTGCTGCTCCAGCGGTGTCTAGCTCTCTTGGGCTCCGGCGTGGCTCCCTGTCACTCCCCCATGCTGACCCCACACAGCCTTCTCTTCTCCTTGACTCTCTGTGGCTCTTCTGTCACCAGGAAGGGTGAGGCCAGCCTGAGCTTGGCTAGAACATTCTGGGATTCCCGGCTCCTTAGGTTTCTCTCCTGCTAGTTCTCTAGCTCAAACTTCCACTCCAGCCAGACCAGCCTCTTCACTGGCCCTGGAACATGCTGTGTCCTTCTTGCTAAAGACAAGTTGCCCAGGCTTGTCCTCTCATTGAGAATGCCTTCTTTTTCCTTGTTCCCAGGGCCGGCGAAGGAGGTGTGCATTAGGGCCTGACTCTTCTTCCCCACCCAAATCTGTCAGTCATGCTCCTCCTCCGGTCCTTGTTCACTGCCACCCCTAGCCTTCACCCTCATCCCCTGGTTTCTGGATCTCCCCTAGTCTCTAGGAGCCTGGAAGACTGCAGCTCCTTTCCAGACCACCTTCCGTGATCTCCAAGAGGCAGGCCAAGCCAAATATCAGGCAATCAGAAATGCTCATCCCTTGGATTGGATTGTCCCTTCTGTGGCTCTACTTCACTAATTCTGGTTTGGGCAGCACTGTACTTTGCATTCCTGAGCCTTTATCATATGTTGTTCGGAGGAGAAAAGAAGGCACAAGCATCCTGAGAGGCTAGGGGAACCAACGTTGGCTGAGCATCACCCACTAAGAGACTGTGAATGTTGATGGCGCAGTCCTGCAAACGTGGGGCTGTTTGTGGGACATGGACATTTGAATACCTAGTGTGCTCCCAACACAGCTCTGAGTAGGTATTGTCATGCTCAGATTACAGAGGGGGAAACTGAAGCTCGGGGCGACTAAGTAATTGGCTTGGACTGTAAAGGCTGGTCTCTTTCTGCTGCCTCCCGCTCAGGTGCTCATTTCTGCCTCTAGAGCGATGAAGGAAGGACAGGGGCCCTCAGTGGTGCTCGGCCCAGACTCTGCCGGGCCCAGGTCTGTGAGAGATCGTGCTGGTTTTGCTCTTGGGCGTGTGTGGATGGAGTTGGGGAGTTTCCTTGCTACCCTGCTGTTCAGCTCAGTTCCTAACAGACACAAGGTTGGAAAATTTGCTGCAGAAAACCCTGCAAAAAGCTGTCAATTATTCACCCAAAAGGCGGAGTACTCAGAGTACTCAGATGGAAAGAGAACTGTCCTGCCTCTGCCATTGACAAACCAGTGGACTTGAGCCAGGCTTCTCTAGCGCTTGTGTCCTCACTGGCCAAATGAGAATGTGGACAAGGTGACCTCTATGGTCCTGACTCTAAAGCTCTACAGAAAGGAAAATGTATTTTCTGAGGACTGGTCGTTAAAAAAGAATTTAGAGTAACTCTCAAAAACTGAGACCAGAGGCACGAAAGGCCCCGACTTGGGACTTTGAGGCACGTATTTAGAGAAGTGACTTAGGAGGAAGACACTTGAGCTGAGAACTTCAAGGTCCAATCTCCTTAACGCAGATGAGGCACAAGGCCCAGAAAGAGGGACGTTCTTGCTCAAGGTCACACAAGAGAAGTTGCATGGGGAGAGCCGCCCTTCCTCCCCAGGGGGAGGCCTGCTGGAATGCAAGCAAAGAATGGGGGCAGAAATCCCAGTTGCTAGGAGGCAAAGCTGATGGATAAAGAAACACAGGGACAGATTGTGTTTGGGATCTGTGTGGCGCTGGGACGTGTTGCCATGGGAATGAGAAAGCGCCACAGGTTAAGTGCAGAAGGGAGAGCTGGGAGCAAGGGTGGAGCAGCGGGCTGAGACCCTGCCTGGGGCATTACCTGTAGTCCTCTGCTCGCCTGTGGAAAACAACAGAAACCACCTCTGCTGTCCACATCCAGTGAAAAACTAGTCAAGGGAGAAGCGTGGCAAGTTACACTGGTTTGGAACTCACCCGTCCACTTTGCTAGAAGCCTGTTTCCATTTTGAAGACCATCCTGTTGACCTGTGGTTTGGGGGGGAAATCATTTGCATTTAAAATCTTGCCCTGGGTCAGGCTGCTTCCAGGGCAGGCCAGGGAGAAATCCTAGGGTTTGAGTCACTGTTTTCCCCACTTCTGGGAAACGCCCAGAAGCAATGCTCCCACCACTGTCTCATCCCATAATGTGAGTCTGACAGCAGGCACTGCTGTCTCAGCAAGGATGGAATAGACAGGCCTTGATTTTTCAGTGTCTGGAGCAGGGAGGCAGCTAGGAAAAGTCCCGATAGAATACTCTAAGATCAACTGGAGGAGGCTTCAGCTTCCAGAGTTCTAAAATCAGTGGCAGAGGGGCGCCTGGGTGGCTCAGCTGGTTAAGTGTCTGCCTTCGGCTCAGGTCATGATCCCAGGGTCCTGGGATCGAATCCTGCATCGGGCTCCCTGCTCCGCGGGAAGCCTGCTTCTCCCTCTCCCTCTGCTGCTCCCCCCTGCTCATGCTCTCACTCGCTCAGATGAATAAATTTAAATATTAAAAAAAATAAAATCAGTGGCAGAAAGGGAAAGTCTGAACAGTAAGTACTAAGGGCTAAAAGATAAAACCAAAGGAGACGAGTCCCCAAGTGCCCCAAAGAGGCAATCTCTTTAAAGGGTTAAGTCTGTTTAAACCTTGAAAAAAGCACTTTGGAGAACAAGACCTTTAACGTCAAAGCGGCTCTTTCTAGGTATTAATAGGGCAAGTTGAAGTCTCCTTTTTATCAAGGGCCAAGTCTTGATTCTTCCACGTCCTGGTACAGCCCCTCTGCTCCGAGAGCAAACCTGGTTACAGCCAGCCTCTGCTGGAGCTTGTCCTAGGTCTGTACGGGCACCCAAGTGTCACGAGAACCGCGAGTCCACATAAAGAAGCGTCTGCTGGCTATGCATTTCTTACGGGTGAAGGCGGTGTTGGGCTTACGTGGGAGACGCATGCTGAAGTAGTTAGAGGTAGTAGTGACCCCTCACCCCTACGCGTTTTGCCCCCAAGTATCTAGAGACAAGTGTGGCAACCTTAACTGGTTAACTGGTGAATCCAGATGAATCGAGCATTCAAAATGTGTGCTAGTTCAGTTTTGTAGAGTTGAAAAATTTACACTAAACAGTGGGCAACGTGTTCGAGAGCTTGGAATTCATGGTCTAGTCGAAGCGGTAAAAATACGTGGTGACTAATCTGCTCAGAGTGCTTCCTGGGGGCAGACCCTTCCCAAATCAAGATGCCGTCACTTACCAACTTCTCAAAGCTATTATTTATTCTATACAAGTTTCCACTGGACATCAGACATTCTTCTACTCTTGCTTACACAGTAAACAAGTGCACATCAGCCCTTTGGCTCAGGTTCACAGGGCTTCCCTGGGGAAGGGGGTCAGGCCAGTTAAACTTGGGGCGTCTTTCTCGGATGCCTCCTTCTGGGAGCACTGGAAAGCTTCAGGCTCCAAGGGGCACAAGCTGGGCCCAGCGGTGTGGATGCACAGGGCTCTGTGCCTTGGTGCTGAACAGCTTTACTCTCTGTGAAGCACCGAGTTTTGTCCAACTACTCAGGGCAAAATCACGCCCGTGGGAAAGAATGGTACAGCTGAGGCAGGATGTCCCCCAACACCCAGGCCCCCGCTCCCGGGGCAGGACTGAAGACCGATGCCAAGAAGGGCTGAGGGGAGGCATGGGCGTCCCTGAGAAACTCGGTCCAAAGGGCCTATGTCTAGGAGGCTCTGAGAAGGGGTGGGGGCACGAAGGTCAGGAAAACGCACGTTAAAAGGGAATAAATTAAAGGTGAGAGAAACTCTAGGGATAAGGGGCTTGTGCTATCCTTCAAACAGCTGGGGGAGCAGACCAGGGGTGGCTTAGAGGGAGTGGGCAGGAAAAACTTGATACACTACCAGAAGAAATCTCCTCCTACCTACTCTCCGCTCCACCTCACTGCAGTGCAAACCGAGCCAGGGGCTAAGGGCATGACCCCCATCTCCCCCAGCGGGGTTGAACATGGCACTGGGGAAAAGGGAACAGGCTGAGGGATATTTCAGGGAGGGGCAGTTACCCCCTGGTCCCCAAATGCTATAAGGCACAATTCTTGGAGGCAACTAGATTCCATCCAAAACATTAAAAAACAAAAAACAAAAAAACCCCAAAACTTGTTAGATCCCGGGTCTACTGTGGCTGTGCTTGGGGCCTGGCCAACACCCACCTAGCACCACTGGGGGCTAGCATTAGAAGAGCTGTACTTGAAGGAAAAAAACCAAAACAAAACGACCAGCACAATGTCCCAGCTGTGAAGAGGTGTGAAGGAGAGCATCTCCAGTCTGAAAACTTTAGTTATGGTAATTAAAAAAAAAAAAAGTTGGGTTTCTAAAAACCAAAATCAGCTTTTTTCAAAGTCATCCTCTTGTCTGTCCCCCTGGAGTTAGCAGCGTTAAGAGGGCTCTTGGCTCATGGGTGTTTTTCTTGCTTCTGGACGGGTGAGCGGGGTCCAGGTGAAGACAGGTGCCAGGTTCGGGCGCCAGTGCTTCCAGGCGGCGATCCTCCCAGCAGGCTCCAGAGGGCGCTGTCTTCCCGGGAGGAACTGGGGGCTGGAAGGGCAGCAAGTGGACCAGGATCTTCTCCCCACAGACCGCCGTTGTTTATTACACACAGGAAAAAAACCACAAGCTTAAAAATGCAAACAAGAGAAGCCGAGGGCGCACTGGGCTGGCTCCAAGCTCTGTGTCTTGTCGATCTTCGTGCCAGGTGTGGCTCAGGAGCTCCCGGCTCCCAGCTCCAGACCCTGACCAGGCTGTAGCAACTCCTGCTCGGCAGCTTTAGTTTACTTTATTTTTCTCTTATTTGTCAGGTTTTCTTTTTTTTTTTTTTTCTTAAAAAAAAAAAAAAAACTTAGGGTGTGGGGCCACCACAGGGAAGGGAGAAAGGGATGTAGCTCCTCGCTGCTACATGCGGGAAGGTGGACTGGCCAATTCGTAGAAGAGCAGATAGGCGTCGCTGGTGCGCACTTGGCTGGAGGACATGGGTGTGACGCTGTGGAGAGAGGGGTGGAGGGAAGTCAGAGCCCTGGAGAGGGGGCCACTGGGACACACACGGAGTGGCTGAAGAACCGTGAGGGCCCATCGCTCCTCTCCCTAGGTGTCCCTGAAGCCAACCTCTTCTGCGGTGTTCTAAGAAATTCTGCAAAGGGGCAGTAGACTCGGACGTATCACATGGACTTTTGGCTCCGACTTCTCTCCAAAGTGGAAGCCACACAGGTGGGTGAGGTACAGGTGTCTGGCAGCCAGGAGCCCTGCCGAGAGCTCTGTCTCACCTGGAGTCATTGAAAGTGTGCCATTCGCCTGTCACTGGACTCCGGCAGTAGGCCGTATAATGGCCGCCCATGGTGGTTCCAGAGTGATTGGACACAGCGTACAGGTTGTAAACAGCGTGGTCTGAGGGGGAAGTACAAGGTTTCAGGCCCCCAAAGCATTCCTTGCCCCACCTCCCCTCGCCTTCCTGCCTCTATTCCTGATTTTCATAACTTGCTCTTCAGCAGCTTCCTTCTACCTCTTGGCCTCTCATCTGGATTTTAGGCACCTGTGCTTTGTTTCTGCCCTCCCAGCTAACAATACTCACTGGTGTTTTCTGAGGCAAATTCTCTCAAGTCCAGGTCTCTTAGTGGGAAATTCACAAATGTTGTGAGCTTGCTGGTTCGTATCCTGGATTCTGAGAACCGCTTCAGATCTGGGGTTGACGTGAGTCAAGGACAAGAGAGGGTGGCGAGGGTAGTCAGAGTTAAAGGGGACTGAGTCCTGAGAGGGTGAAGTGCTTCTCAGAAGCAAAAGAGCAAACGGGGAAAGGAAAGTCTACCAAGTTGCCTTTTTCCTACTCTGTTCGCCCTCAGTCACTCCCTAAAGGCAAGCCCTTGCCATGGTGGGTGGTAAGGATACGGAGCACCAAGATCTTTGGGAACCTCTGGATGGAGAACTTCTTTATACACCGTTTTCTGGCTCGGCAGCGGCAGCATGTCTGCAACACACGACAAACAGGGCAACAGAGGACTCGGGGGGTCGGGGGTTAAGCCCAGTAACCCGCAGGCTGCATCTGCTGCGGACAGGCCTTCCCCGAGTGGTCTCTTGGATGTGTGCTCCTGATCCCACGGAAGGGGGACTTACTGGCTTTTCATCGCCGTCAAGCACATCCTCTTTGGTGAAGAGCCTCATGCAGTCCGTTAAAGTTACCTCAGGGTAACCTCGCTGCGAGAGACAAAGAGTAGAAGTCACAGAGATGGACGACATGAGAAGGGAAGAGTGGGCGCTTCCCACGTGGGGCAGCAGGGGCACACACCTTAGCGATGGGCAGTGAGAGGTCCCAGAAGGGGTCAAAGACTGTAGAGCAGTAACCACAGTCTGTACACGTCAGGGAGCTCTTTAGCTGTCCAACGAAGAGGTCTGCAGGAGAGATGGGACAGCGGAGCTTAAACCTGGAGAAGGAGCACACGTCTTCTCTGGGCCGCGTGCCTGCTCAGCGCTCCTGCCTCTGTCCCTGGGCCACCGGGCAGGAGGAGGGTCCCCTGAGAGGAGGACTCTTAGGGCTTTTCACGCTCAGGCTCTGCTCAGGCAAAAGCAGTTAACAGGGAAAGCAGGCCTTCCTCCCATTCATGCGCTTACCCCCAATCCGACTGTCTTCCCGTTCTAGATATTTCCTCCACATCTGTCGTCCTTTCTCATCATCACTAGGAACCAGAGAGAGGGAGACCACCAGGTCAGAGCTCATGCCATGAGAAGTTTACGGGTCCATCAGTCTAACTCCTTAATATTTAAAATTCTCTCCAAATTATTACCCCCAAAGAAGTCAGCCCAAAACGCAAGTTCATTCTCCCGCCAAAAACCCACAGCATTCTCCTCTTACGGAAGATGATCGAGGTTCTCAGGGTTGGACTTGGGCCTCACTGTCACTCGGTTCACCTCGTTGTGGAGCCCATCCAGAAGAAAGCGAAGAAACTCCTGAGCATCTTGCTGACTGAGTCCAAAGGAAAGAGAGTGAGCAATACCTCTCATTCCAAGAACCAACCTGCTGTGGCTGGCACCCACCCTGGGGAGGACACGTCTGCAAGGCTCTTACTTATAGCCAACGAAGCGTGGCGCATATCTCTGGATCTGGGTCTTGAACTCAGATGGGCTCACCACATCATTGGGGGATGAAGTCCATATGGTCTGGATTAGTTTTGCAAACTCTATTGGAAGGAGAGGGTAGAGAGGGGGCATGGAGGACAGGTGAGACACTTTCTGTAAAAAACTCAAACTAGAATTCCACCAAAACGAAGGCAAAGAGAGAAAAGTAGGAGGGATACATATAACATCCAACTACTAATATGGCAAGAGCGGTGTGGAGCAAGTGTCCGGGGCCGGACCCCTAACCTTCCACGAGGGCTGTGTGTGCATTGCTGCTGTGGCCGAGATCCCGCATGTAGAGCCTCTGGAGGCAATAATCCCTCAGCTCCCGGGTGTTGCTCAGGCACTGCAGAATGGAGTTCATGAAGCACTGCAAGAGATCACCCACTCCGTAAGACAGAGCCCGGTCTGGCAAGTCCACTTACCCAGTACCAGAGGCCCTCTGGTTCATCTACCCCAGAAATGAACGCTCCCACAGCCTCAAGTTCCTCTTCTTGTAAGGGAAAAGGGTGTCATGAGGCCAATTCCCGCGGCCCGCACAGGTGACGTAACTGGTTATTGACTGTAGAGGTGTACAAAAGGGTGTGGGTGAGCTGGACAGAAGTGGGTGGGAAGTGATGGATGTCCTTCAGGAGAAGGACCCAGGAAAGTAGCCGACAGTGAAGAGGGCCACTCCCCTTTAGCCGTGCTTCCTGCTGGGGGCCGGGAGAGAGGCAGAGTGCCAGCCATTCTGTAAAACCCACCAGCCAGGATGGGCAGGTATCAACTGGCCTCTAGAGGATAGGGAGTCAGCAGGAGACAGGAGGGAACTTCTGGTCAGATGTCCACTGGGACAGTAGGAGGTGGCCTTAGGAAAGAAGTGGGCTGGGAAGAGCTTACCGTGTTCCCAAGGTTTCGAAGACCAGCCAGACCCTGGGCGCTCTTAGAATTCTGTAGGCAAAGAACACAGGGCATATGAGGCTGAAGGCGAAGAGGCTGGGCCTGTGTGCTAGGCTTGCTCATGCAACTATCTGCTAGCTGGAGCCAGGAGCACCAGGCACACACATTATTCTCTCTTCAACACACAACACAAATATTCTTCAGGGCTTTTCTTTCTTTTATTGACATGTGTTTTCCCCCAATCTGTACATGCCTCTTCATTCTCTGCCATACTGGAGGCTGGAGATTAGAACCAGAGCCTAGGAATTTGTGTATTTGATTCCCGGCTACAGGGAACGCCGGGTCCCACATCCGGGCACTATCTCAAATGACCCACTTTTCTACCCCTAGATGTCCAATACATGAAGCAGCTGTCGTAACGGGCACTTCAAGGAGAGCTTGAAATGTTCAATGACAAAACATCTGAAGTGCGTTTAAGATCTTCAGCTGGGGAAAACTGAAGTTGGCCCGCCATTCTGAATTGTCGGAGACAGGTGGAATTCCTTTCAGCTGAGCTCATCTCCTAAAGGCTGATTAAAGCCTGGGAGAATCCTCCTTGCCTGGCTCAGGTTTCAGCATCCTGGCAGGTCCCTAGCTGAGAACCCTTCTGACGGCAGACTGTGGCCACGCAGAGGTAAGCGCCTGGCTGAAGGTGCCACTCCTGTTCTTGTCCCTATTGTGGAGGCTGGTGAGGGGGTCTGGAGGGAGACAGCTGCTAGGTCCAGGTCTCTTGGCTAATTCTGGCCCCACCTCCAAGGAGTCAGAAAACCTTCGGGCTCAAAGGGTTAAAGAAACAGTGTGCAGATGAGCCTGCCACCCCCTCTCTCAGGGAGGGGACCAGGGAGCCGGCAACTCTGGAGCAACACTGACTGGGGCATGCGTGGGGCCAGCTCAACCCTGATCAGAACAGGAGCCTGAAATAACTCAGCTAAAATTACTCATGCCGTGTGCCGACAGCCTCTGAAGCTGTCAGCAGCTCAAAGCCCATGAGGTTGTCAGCTCAAGGCGGTGGGGAGGGGAGAGGCAGGCTGAAGGAGGGCTTTTCTCAGGAATTGCCCTGCTGATCCCACAAGTAAGAGGATCCCCTCTTGCCAGTGATCAGGTCTAACACTAACAGGTAGGAAAGGAAATATACTCCGGAGAGAGACCTGGTTTCCACCTGCAGTTAGCGAGCAAAGCTTATTGGCAGCAGGTGGGCATAAGCATCCTTGAACTCTGCCAGTGCTAGCAGTATATGGCCCCAAACACAAAATTTAAATCTTACCTTTCTGACAGTCTAAACCCTGATGTTCCAGTAAGAGGACCACAACAGAGATAATTCCCTGGACAAAGACCTTATCAGTATTTTCAGGTAAACCTGGAGAAGGACTCCCCAACAAAAACACTAAAGTCTCGGTGCTGCCCATTCGGAACTAAACGTTAAAGCCTGTCCACAACAGGATACCTGTCCTCCCCTCCCCCAAGATCCACCCTCACTCCTATTTTTGGCGGTGCTTGTTAGTTCTTACCCCCTGTGCCTCAGACAACATCTGTCTAAAGGGCTGTGGAAGTAAAGCCTGGTGATCATATCAATGTGCACCAAAGTGCGTCTCCAGCTGAGACAGTCCCTCAGCCCTAATGGGGGCAGGGCAATGGAAAATTAGAGGCGCCTTTGTACCGAGGCACTTCTGTGGTGTTGACACTTTTAACTCTGACCCAGCACAGTGAGGGTCAAGAACAACACATCCCCACCTATGGTTACTGTTCTTGAGGATCTACCTCTACTATTGGCCTGGCAGGTGGAGAGATGGGGAAGGCTCCTTTAAGGCTTTGCCAGGACCCTCTGTTCGTTTTTCTTTTTGTAGGGGGTAGGGGTGGCTCGTGCCTTTGTCTAAAATTTCCTAAGTTCAAAACTACTTGCCAATTTCTAAGCGTTCTGTGTAGAAGGCGGCTGGATGAGAGGAGCTGGAGGGTGGGAGTGGAGGGGAGAGCAGGGCTGTTCTATGCCCAGCCAGATATTCTTCTGCCATGAATAGGAAATCAGGAGCTCCAGGGAAAGTCAGCACTTTCCATTCCAGAGAGGAACAAAATGTCCCAGGAGTGACCTTTCTTATGGGGAAAACAATCCTACCTCAGGGCCAACAGGGAGAGGCTAGAACTCGAGAGGTCGGGAGAGACCCCACACAGTGAGCCTCTCACAGGGAGAGAAGGAAATGACTCCAGCGGCTATGTGGAGTGCATGTGCAAAGGCTTGAAAGAGTCTGGATCAAGAACTTCCCTAAAATTAGTCGTCAGCAAACCTAACCTTGACTTAGGGGCAACCACTGCTCTAAAAAGTCGATGCCACCTCCACGGTTAGTAAACAGACAGCATTCAACCCTCCGTGAAGGAGCAGGGGGCTCAGGGAGAGCCCGCTCTGGGTTAATGGGGAGGAAACGTTTGAGGAGGGGGGTCATATAAGCAAGGCTGATTGAGGTTTGTGTCTTCACACTCAAGACCCCAGTAAAGGGCCTTCCTGCTTACTTCACCTGTGCCATGAGGGTCAGCCATGAGTCCTGGCTGCGGCCAAGGAGCCTGGTGTGGCCCTGGCACGGGGCAGTGCACGCACTGCCAACTCAGGAGCCGGTGCCTGTTACATAAGATCTGTCAAGCTCTGGCCCCTTCTCCCTTCCCCAAGGGGGCAGTGCCCAACCTCCAGCCCCAGCATGACCCTGGGGAGGCTACTTCATTTGAGAGATCCACCGCCCACTTAGCAGAACTGGGGGAGGGCCGAAAAGGAAAGAGAAGCTGCCTTCTTTCACCTGTCTGCGACTCCTCTGCCCTTCACAGGGTCAAAGGACCCCTGTTACCAACCCTTCGGAAGAGCGCCCTTGCGGACCAGTGAGGAGGGGCCGGCTCTTTCCCACCAGCCTTTCTTGCTGGGTTTTAGCCTTGGAGGAGTCACGGCCGCAGAGTCCAGCGTGCTGCCGGCTCCCTCACACAGAGAGAACTAGTCAAGGTTACGCTTTCCTGCACCTGTCCTGAGAGGTGCCAGGAATTAAGAGCCCGAGGGCCACCTGGTGCCCGGGTCACGAAGAGGGAGAGGAAGAGGGGAGGGGGGACCTCAACCAGGGGAGGGGGCCGCGAGTAAGCCTGAGATCACCTGGGGAGGGGGCATTCCTTGCCGGGAGACCCTGGGAAAAGAGGGGTGGGGCTGGGAAGAATCGGTCCCCCCACTCCGGCGAGGGGGGGGGGGCGCGCGGCAGATGGGGGTGGGGGGGGCGTCCGGAGGAGGAGGCGGAAGCCCAGTCCCCCGGCGTGTGGGTCCCAGAAAGGGGCCCCGCGTACCTTGGCTTTGTTGAGCAGGAGCCCCACGAAGGTGGAGAGCAGCAGGGAAGGGGAGAGCGGGGAGCGCGGCCGCAGCTCCTTGGCGAGGGCGGGAAAGGGGGAGGCCGGGGGCTCCTCGGGCAGGGTCACGGTGTACGAGGTGCGCATGCTGGGGGGCGGGCGGCGGGCTCGGCCCCACGCCTAACGTTGGCAAAGGGGGCGCGGGGGAGGACCGCGCGGTGCCACGGCCCGGACGCTGAGGCCGGCGAGGCCGCCACAAGACACCGTCCGCGACGCCCGGCGGTAACCGCTCCGGCCGTCCGACCGCGCGCTCCTCCGCCTCAATCTCCCCGGCGCGCGCCGCCAACCGCCCCGGCACCCGGCTCTCGCGCTCCGGCGGACTGGCTGCCCCGCCGGTGCCTCGGGCCCCACGACGTCAGCGCCGGGGGGCGGGGCCACCACTGCGGCCCCGCCCCGGGGCCCGCACGCGGCACCGAGCGCGGCCGAGGCCCCGCCCGCCCCCGCGCCTCCCGCGGTCCGGTCCCCCGCCCGGGCCGCCCCCAGCCCGCTGACCCCGCGGGCCCGGCCGCCGCCAAGACCCGCCGTCCCCGGGAAGGGCGGGACGGGCGCGCCGAGCCCCGCGCCGGCCTCGGGGTCGGGACTCAGGAGGACCCCCACAGGACCGTGTCAGCCGGGTGAGCTTTCCCCCCGGGCCGCTTACAGTTCCTGACTTCGGGGGGCTGCCGGGCATTTGGCTTCACCCGGTGAAAGTTCCGTGCTCTCCTCGGGGCGGGGCGGGGAGGGGGGGAATGCACTTGCGCACAAACTTTTGCACTTCGTTCAGGGGGGACTCAGGTCCTCTTGGAGCCCGACACCTACACAGCTCGCGAGGGTCGATGGGCCCCTGGGTTAGGAGCATGGATTTCCCTGGCGTCGGGACTGAGCTCCCCCCGCCATCTCTCCCCAGTCCCAGTTGGTCCCATTATCAAGAGAGGCAGTGCCCCTATTTTATAAGGTACAAGAGGTCACTGTCCCATTTGGCCCCAGGGAAGAACATTTTCTGGCTTCTTCTATCCAGTTACCCAGCACCAACTCTCACGGAATCTGAAATTTTGATTTGTTTTGGGAGGTGGGAAGAAAGTACCACGGTGGTGGGGAAGCAGGTGCTCAGCTGGGGTGGGGGCGAGCGTACTGCTCTGACCCTGAGGGCTTCGATGCTTGAAGAGCAGAGATCTTTGCGTTTTATTTCGGATGCTCCCCACCCCCACCCCCCCTCACCTATCAGGGACCCACACAGAATCTGCCTAGAGAAAGTATCTTGTTTGGAGCCCGCTGGCTATTTTTAGCCAGTATTTTTAGCATTTAAAAATACTCAGAAGCAGCAGCGTGTGCTGTTACTCATCTGTGGCCTCCTTCTGTTCCTCTTGGCATGCTCATCGCCACATGTACACGCGCCCTGCACACCCGACTGCAGCCACATGGGGAATGTGTCCAGGACACATGTATGGAGTGGGCATGAGGCAGGAGCGGCAGGGCATTCTACTTGCTGCTCAGTGAGGGCACCGGTGTGAGGATGGTGAGCTCCCCAGTCCCTGTCCTCACTCTGTGACCAAATCCCGGACGCACTGCGCCAGGCTTTCCTCCCTGCTTCCCTCTTTCTAGGCACGCCCTTTCTAGTGAGTCCCACAGTGTCCAGCAACGCTTGCATTTGGTTACACCACACTTCT